TCTTGTTTGGCCGAGAGTGAAAGGCTGAATAATGTGGACAGATGAGGTTGGAGTGGAACAAAACACCTCATACTCAAAGCGTCTTTGACAAACAATAGGCTACACATGGTGAGGACAGACCCATCAAAGGACAACAGTGAAATTTGGGACAGACTGAAGAGAAGGCAATAATTAAACAAACACAGGTGTACAATAAACATGATTGATGCATAGGATTTCAATGTCAAGATGGCTCCACCTTGTAACTAGCAGGTGGAACAGTTTATTCTAGTGATTGTCCTTTCTGAGAAGATTTTTGTTTTGTGGGATGTGAAAACCAATGGAACAATGCTTTTTTCCCCTTTAGTGTGATGGAGAACATGTCAAAATACAGTTTTAAATGAACAATGGCACACACAATGTTTATTCTTTTCATGCAGAGGTGTGAGTCCTAGTTAGATATGGATTCCAATCCCTGTTGGAATCTAACATTCTTTCCTATGGAATTTAGTTACAAAACAAATTTTGCACACTGAAAACACAGTATTCAGTTCTTAAAGCGACAGTTCATGAAAAAATATAAACTTTGTCACTGTTTACTTTCCCTCATGTTATTTAAATTTTTCTTTTCTGTGGAACTTTTTTAGGAATGTGGTAGTTTCGTGTGAGGAACTGGTTAAACTTGTAGTCATTGTTGAGTGGGAGGAAATAGTTATAAAATAAAGCAATAAGCCCCGCTTCGTGTCGTGCCTAACAACGCCCCTTAGCTGTTATAAATTCACTGTAAAACACAGCTTCACGGGGCTTATTGCTTTTATAAAATGGTTATTCCATATACGTAGGTAGGTTTCACAAAATAAAACAGAGCAAATAAAGTGTAATGATATTAATAAAAAACAGTATTCTTCCACCAAACAATGTAGTTCCTCAGAAACAGTTGTGGTTGCAACAAAGTGGTTGCCAAGCAACACATAGAAGTAAACAAAGGTGTATGTTTGTAGTGTAATTTACAACAGCTTCGAATGCGGCTCAACCAATCAGAATCAAGGACTGGAACTATCCGTTTTATAAATAATAATTTGCTCATCCTTATGACTTTTAAAACTGCTTGAGATTTTTGGGTGGACTGTCCCTTTTAAGAGCTGCAGCGTGAACTATGATTTGTGCTGGAATGTAACTCCTGAAGCTTTAAGATTTGCGTATTTTCGCACATAATCTATTAAATAATTAAATGAATCATCATGTGGCTGTGTCTAGGATTGGCAGTAAGGTCACAGAACTTTTATGGTCCAGAATGTCTCATGGTTATGTAAACGTGAAATTTTAAGTGAGGAATTTGTTCAGCGTTCTGCCAGCTGTATAATCTTCTTTTGATTCAGTGATTCATGCAGTTCATTTAGAAATGTGCCCCTGTGTATCGTCACATCATGCTTTACCAAATGGAAAAAAAATACTTAGTGACCCATTCTAAAGTAGAAAGAATTTCATTTCATTTACATGGACGAGAGGATGAATATCTTTCTTTCTGTCTGTTTTTTCTCTTTAGCCTCGTCTCTAGTGTCTCACAGGTTTGTGACGGTGCGACGGGGGAGCCCAGCAGCACGCAGTGGTCAGATCCAGCCGGGGGATCAGCTGGAGGCCGTGGAGGGCAAATCAGTGGTCACGCTGCCTCACAGAGACCTCGCACAGATACTGCGCAGAGCCGGCAACACACTCAGACTCACCATTATACCACGCTCTCACACTAGTAAGCACACCACACTCGTATAAAGTTCCTAATTAAATTATATTGTATGTTTTTAAATGGTGATATATTTGTTCATACACTACTGTTCAAAAGTTTGGGGTGAATTTCTTTTAAAGAATTCTCTTCTGCTCATCAAAGCTGCAATTATTTGATCAAAAATACAATAAAAACAATAATATTGTGCAGTATTACAATTTAAAATACCTGTTTTTTTATTTTAACATATTTAAAATTTTAATTTTTTTTAATTTAATTTATTCCTGTGATGGCAAAGCTGGATTTTTCAGCAGCCATTACTCCAGTCTTCAGTGTCACATGATCCTTCAGAAATCATCCTTGACAATCAATATTGAGAACAGTTGTGCTGCTTAATATGATTCAAATATGCATATACATCTGCTGCAGATACATTTTGTCGGGATTCTTTGATTACTACTAGAGAGCTCAAAAAGAACAGCATTTATTTGATATAGAAATGTAAGTCTTCACTTGTTACTTTTGATTAATTTACTGCATTCATGCTAAATTAAAGTATTAAAGGGTTAGTTCACCCAAAAATGAAAATTCTGTCATTAATTATTCACCCTCGTGTTGTTCCAAACCCGTAAGACCTTCGTTCATCTTTGGAACACAATTTAAGATATTTTTGATTATATCTGAGGGCTAAGTACCTAGAAAAGTACCAAGATGATCGACAAAGTAGTCCGTGTGACATCAGTGGTTCAACTGTAAAGTTACGAAGCTACGAGAATACTTTTTTTGCACAAAGAAAACAAAAATAACGACTTTATTCCACATTCGCGTTCACGACAGTACCATGACGCCGGATCTGGGTCAGCGCCGCCACACGCTCGCGTCATGATACTGTCGTGAACGCGCATCCACAAGGGATCATCTTGGTACTTTTCTGGACCTTGAACGTGGTAGTTACCTTGCTGTCTATGGGAGGGTCAGAGAGCCCTTAGATTTCATCAAAAATATCTTAAATTGTGTTCCAAAGATGAACGAAGGTCTTACGGGTTTGGAACAACACGAGGGTGAATAATTAATGACAGAATTTTCATTTTTGGGTGAACTAACCCTTTCATTTCTTTCAAAACGTTTGAATGGTAGTGTATATTCGCACTTGTCTTTTATTGAGTATAGCTTACATTTTGGTATTTGTTTTGTAAAATGCCTTGAGAAACTTGCTGTTTAAATAAAAAATTAAGTTTATTTTTAATAATGATATTATTTATTATTTAACAATTTATGCATGCATATTTATATAGTAATTATGAAATAATTCAATTAAATATTACATTTATGTTATTTTATTTATTATATTCTGAAGTAATGTTGTTTCTGCTAAGCCTTGTGGTGTATTTTTAACATTTTGCACAAGAGGGTGCTGGTGTAAAGATAATAAATAAGTGTTACAGTAACAAGGCGTGTGTCTAAACTCATGTGTGTCTATTTTTTATCAGACAATAATCTACCTGAGTACCCTGACTTTGATGCTGAGAGTCGGTTAAGAAAAGGGCATCGGGCTAAGCAAAAGGTGAGACTACATACATGCATACAGAAATACACATACATATTTACTTGGGTTGTGGAGGCATTTTGTTCCATAGACTTTTTTTAACTTTTAACCTCAAAATGTTTGGTTAAAATTCATACGACTGTGTAGGGAGAGTGCATCTCTATAACTGGCCACCATTTCTGAACGCCTTATTTATTTTAAACACTTCTACAGTGTGATAGTAATGTACAGTAATCATAGAAGAATTAGCATGCTCTTTAAACTAGTTAGCATGTTATCTGCAACTTTCCATTATTTCATACCCTGCCTACATCACATAAAGTTGCTTAAAAATGTCTCTCTCTCTCCCTCTCCAGGATTCCCAGTATTACAGCGTTGATCTTGAAAGGGGGCCAACAGGGTTTGGTTTTAGTTTGCGAGGTGGAAGCGAATATAACATGGGTCTGTATGTGCTCGGTCTAATGGAGGGTGGACCGGCCTCACGCAGTCAGAAAATGCAGGTTAGTTTACACACACACACACAGTAAATTTTATTGGGCACAATAAATAAACCTTTCACTTGATTCTGTTAGGGATGTTTGAAAGTGTGACTCAAGCACTAGGAGCAGCACTGAGTCATGTTGTGAAGATTATGCTGAGGCATGCTGGGATTAGGTTCTGTCGTTGACATTACGCTGAGTCACAGAGGGTTTTGCTGACTCATATTGCAGGTGAGTGATCAGCTCGTGGAGATTAATGGAGACAGCACAGCTGGGATGACACACAGCCAGGCCGTGGAGCAGATCCGAAAGGGAGGAGCCTGGATACATCTCATACTGAAGAAAGGCGATGGATACGTACCAGATTATGGTGAGGGGAGAAAGAGTAATGTATAGGAATAGAAGGTTTGAGAAATTTAGGTTCATGTAAGAGTAATGATCGACCGATGGCCAAAATATTTTACAAAAGTTTTGCTTCCCTCTGATAGTTACCAGGTTTACATCTGTAGATCAGATTCGTCTAGTCAGGGCCATAGGCAGATGATACGTTTGTCCATTAAACTTGGTAGAAAAACAAGGTGATGACAGACATTCAGGACTTTTCCAAAAACATTCAGGATATAAGTTCAATCTTCTAGCTTCTTAACTGTACTTTTTGCAACTCTGCATTGGATTTTTCCTCTTGATTTACTTCTTTCTCTTCCTGTCTTTCACAACTTCATACTTTCGCTCTCTTTCTCTCTCTTGAACTCTCCTCCAGTGGAGCTTTCCAGCTTATCTCTTTGTATGACTAACTCGAAGCAGGGCGAGCCTTGCTTCTATGTCATCGGCCGGACAGAAAACACGCGGTTGGTAACCGTTCCTCGTTCCTGTTGGTTGTCATTTTGTCTTTCTTAATGTTCACTTTGTGATCTCACAGTTCTCATACTCCCTCTATATATATATATATATATATATATATATATATATACACACACACATACACACAGCAGGTAAAATAAGTATTGAACACATCACTATTTTTCTCAGTAAATATATTTCTAAAGGTGCTGTTGACATGACATTTTCACCAGATGTCAGTAACAAACCAAGTAATCCATACATGCAAACAAAACAAAACAAATAAATTCAGAAATAAACACAGAAAAAAGTTATGTGTAATAAAATGGAATGGAGGTGCAAAAAGGCATGGAAAGCCAATCAGTAACAAAGACTATAAAATACCTTCTTAAAGAGACTTTGTCAGTAATTAGAAAGCAATCCTGCCCCTTGTCAGTGGAAATTAATATTTGCTGGTTCAGTCCCAACACCTACCAGGATGATGAAGATGAAACAAGGGTGGACATTTCAGCAAGACAATAATGCCAAACACAGCCAAGGAAACTCTCAATTGGTTTCAGAGAAAGAAAATAAAGCTGCTAGAATGGCCCAGCCAATCACCTGACTTCAATCCAATAGAAAATCAATGGAAAGAACTAAAGCTCAGAGTTCATAGAAGAGGCCCACAGAACGAAGTATTAAAGGGGTCATATGATGTTGCTAAAAAAGAACATTATTTTGTGTATTTGGTGTAATGAAATGTTTATGCGGTTTAAGATTAAATAAACACATTATTTTCCACATACTGTACATTATTGTTTCTCCTCTATGCCCGCCTTTCTGAATAGCGTGGATTTTTACAAAGCTCATCGGTCTGAAAAAGGGAGGTGTGCTGTGATTGGCCTGCTATCCAGTGCGTTGTGATTGGCCGAATACCTCAAGCGTGTGACGGAAATGTTACGCCCCTTACCACATTGTGGTGATGCCCTGTCAGGCCAGAGCGATGATTCAAAAACATGAAAACCCATTATAAACGAGGCATTCGTTGCATCCAGTGGGGAAATAATTATGGATTATAATGACTTATACTGTCTTTTTACGCATTGCGTTGCATCGCGCCGCGTAAACATAAAACCATGTCTGCATTTGTGATCGGAGAAATGACAAACAACAAGCCCTACTCTACACTGCCCAAAAAACTCACTTTAAATATATAAAATATAAAAACTCTTTAAATATAAAAAACGTACTTACAATCTTTAAGTCAGAACAGCTGGCATTGTAGTCTACTCTACCAGGATCAGTAAACAGTCCTCCATAAAATGTGCTGCACACATCTGAATATTTCGGTTGAAGTGTTCTTGAACCGTGTTGTAAATACAAATTAACCACTGATTTCTAGTCGTGTCCATTTTTGGAAGGTCAAACAAAGTAGTATGGCTTTCACAATGAAACACAGCGTCACACACGGCGTCCTTGAGTGAGCAGAGGCCAGGGGATAAAGTGAAGAACTGCCAGCGGGCTAGAGTGAGCAGAGGTGGCGGATTCGAGGAAGGAGCGTCCGGAGGGCTTGCGGCAACCAAATCTTACGACCCCGGACTGGACTCCGCTTTGTCCACGGTGAAAGCCGATCCGGCGATCCACAGCGCAAAGATGATGTATTTCCTCAGCGACCAGCACGGATCAGCTCCAGGCATGACGACGCAGATATCGTCCTCTTTTGTAAGGCCAAACAAAGTAGTTTTGCTTTCACAACGAAGCACACAGCGCATTC